GAAACTTCCCGAGCTGATCCCGCTGCTGCAGCTCATTATTTATTTACGAGTGTCTGCATTTATATGAAAGACGAGCCCGGTGATGCTCGTTTGGCAATTGAAGATTTCTTGAGGAAAAGAGGCCACGGAGCCAAGGGCTGGTTCAGTGCCCAAGTCCTGGCATGGATGGAGGGGATTGGAGAGGAATGGTTTGGGTTGGAAGGGACCTTAAAGCCCATCCAGTGCTCCCCATGCCATGGAGACACTTTCCACTATCCCAGGTTGTTCCAAGCCCTGTCCAACCTGGCCTTGGACACTTCCAGGGATGGATCAGCCACCATTTCTCAGGGCACCCTGTGCCAGGGCCTTCCCACCCTCTCAGGAGAAGATTTCTCCCCAGTTTCCAATTCTGATGCTGAACTGAGTGTGGAGTTCTGAGGTATTTTGGTGCCACTAAAATACACATGTGATATGGAAGAGTTTTTAGATATCAAAATTAGCCAAAATTTGTTTATGATTACCTCAGATTATTGGCTAGCACGTGAGGCACCTGCAGCCAGCTTTGGAAGGTTTGGGCACAGGGAGCACTTGGAATTTTTTGATATGTCTCCACACCAAGCCTGAGGCAGCACGAACTGCTGGGTGTAGGTACCCACACCTCTGCACCAGTCTGATTCCACTTGATTTCACCCTTATTCTCATCTGGGGACAGATATTGGAAAAGGAAATAAAAAACACGTGGAGAAAACTTCTTGGGATGTGTTATTTACCTGAAGTGAAATACCAGATGTGTCCCAAACTTGCCCTGAGCAAGCCACCATGGTGTCCAGAGCTGGATGTGTCAAATCACTTTGCAGCATCTTTTTTTTTTTTTTTGAGTTGCTCCTCCATAAATCGCTCAATCTGTGTGCATTTGGCAGATAATTGCTGCCTCAGTGAGGCTCCTTTCTTGTGCAATTTGTGGCTGTGGGAAATGCAAGGAACTGTTGGAAACCCTTTCCTCTGCCAGCCCGATGGGTGAGGCTGTTGCTCCCCATTTTTAATTAGGGTGCTGCAATCCCATCCCAACCCTTTCCATGTCATCCTGCTTTATCCACTTGTTTTGTGCCAAATTCCCCATGATGAACGTTTTACCTGCATTTTCTCCCCGTTTTTTTTTTGTTTTTTTTTTTTTTTACTTACCTAAAGCTCATAAAAATTCACAGGGTATAACTCATCCTTGAGTATGACCTTGAAATAAAGAGATATTTCTGATTTTATTCCATGATTACAAAGCAAAGATAGGAGCTGCCAGAAAAAATAACGGGAACAGCACCCTGGCTGCCAATGGATCTATTCCTGACCCTGCCACAATTTACCTTCATTTCCTCCCTCTTTGCTCAGTCATTGTAAGAAAAGCAGAAACAGATTTTTTTAAAACGTGGATTTGCCAGATTTACCCTGTTTTCCATCATGTGGGTATTTCCCCTCTCCTCTTTGTCCTGGTTCCTGACTTCTTCCTCTTGCCTGAGCGTATTCCAGCACTGAGATTCTGATTTTAATGCAGAGGGTTCACGGTTTTAATTTCACTTTTAAACCCAGACTAATGTGTGTTGGTAATTGAGGAGGTCTATGACTTACATTAGGCCACATAAAACAATTTCCACAGCAGATTTGGAGCTTATTTCAGTAAAAAGGAGGCCTTGGCTATCCTGGCTGTGCTGAAACCCCAGGATCAGCAGAGTTTATCAGCTCTTACCTGTCCTGATGGAGCAACTGCTGAAATGAGGGTGGAGCAGGCAGGGATGATGACAAGTGGGAATTCTTGGAGTTAATTGTGACCTCCACCCCTGAATCAGAGCCTTCCAGCCAGGGAGTTCCCATGGAAGTTGCCTGGAGATATTCTCAGGATTTGGGCTCCTCCAATTCAGACAAAAGATTGCTTATTGCAGGGAACGTGAAGGATAAAGTTGATTGTGCTTTGAACCAAGGGATTTTGTTCCTTTGTTCAGTGCAGGTTGAGTTTTCCTCCTTGTGTGAGGACACAGTGGAGAGGAGCCCATTTTTCCTTTTATCTTTTCCTGCTGGAGCAGTGGCACAAGCTCAGATCCAGCCTTTGGAGCTGCTCAGGAGCCATCACACCTCCCTTGTCAGCTCCCAAACACTGAATTTTCAATTTCCTGGCATTGTTTTCCCTGAACATTTCATTCATTTCAGCTCCTCGATTCCCTTGACCACAACAAGTTTGCAGCAGGGCTGCTTTGGGTGGTTTGATGTTGGATCTGAGAATCTGCACTTTAAGAGGAGCCCAGCTTTGCTCCTGACTTTTTCCCGAGTTTTTCAGTTTGTGGTAGGATTTCAGAATATAGTAGTTGTTGTTGGGAAAATAATTGAAATTATTTGGGTCATGGTGACAGGACAGGGCTGCTTTTGCTGCATGAATATCGATCATTCTGTGCAATTAAATTAATTATTCCACGTTCTGTAATATTTCATTTGCAGATCTGCCTGTTCTGCTTTAATTTCAGTGCTCAGCCTGGCACGTGGCCACTTGTCCATGTCTGTGTCCTGGGGTGCAGCAATTCATTTGGGACAATTGTCCCAATTTTGGCTCTCACTGGTGCTGCACGAGTGTAATTTGCTGTTTGTGTGGTTCTG